CACCGTTTCAAAAGTACCGGTTTGGCACCGGTATCGGATAAAACCTAAACGATACCCATCCCTAGTGGTTACAGATAAAACCACAGCACTAAAACAGCTTTACTAAAAATGATATTGTAATGCACTCAGATAAAGGTGAGCATTCAAGTCCTGCTTGACTGATCTGTACCCTTTGATACTGTTGATCAAGCTACTTATTAACAGACTACAAAACTGGGTTGGCACCACTGGTACTGCCCTCAGATGGTTTTCTTCATACTCATCAAACAGATACTTCAGTGTATGCATTCATCTGCACCGCTTGCATGTGGAATCCCCCAGGGCTCAATCCTTGGACCAATTCAGTTTTTTAAATATATGTTACTCCTGGGCCATCTCATTAATCGGTTTAGTTTAATGTAGATGACACACAGTTTTGACATACCTTTCTGTCAAACCCAACAACCTTAACAGCTTCTCCTGCCTCAACAAACGTTTCTCTGCCATTAGTAATTGGATGTACTCTAACTTCCTCCATTGCAATTCTGGTAAAACTGAGGTTCTAGCACACGGCCAAGACACATTCTCCAAGGAGGTTAGTCAGTACATTAGCCCATGCAATCCTCCATAACCACAACTGTGCATTAATGTACAAGGATTACCTATGAGTCTGCTGATTGCTGATTGGTTGACAAGTGGGCTGGAAAAGGGAAGGGAGCAAAAGTGAAGATAGGAGCAAAAAAACCTTCAAAAATAAAAATACTTGAAAGCACATGGTTCAGTTCCACCTGCTGAACTATACATTTTTCTGTGAGCTAGTTTTATTAGTGTAGTGCGGTGACTCGTACAGAAAGGAGAGCAGAGATGCTGTTTGTTGGGCTGCAAGATGCTAATTAAGCAATGAAAAAAATGGTAATACTCACTATGTATTAACAGACCTCTCTGCATTGAATCATATCTGTTATTAACCTCTGTCTCTCTTCCACAGCATGTCTTTATCCTGTCTTCCTTCTCTCACCCCAACCAATCACAGCAGATGGCCCCGCCCCTCCCTGAGCCTGGTTCTGCTGGAGGTTTCTTCCTGTTAAAAGGGAGTTTTTCCTTCCCACTGTCGCCAAAGTGCTTGCTCATAGGGGGTCATATGATTGTTGGGTTTTGTCTGTATATATTATTGTAGGGTCGACCTTTTGAAGATTAAGTATTTCAGTAGCGGGACCACGCCTCCAAACACGCTCCTTCCGGTTCTCATCTATATCGGTTCCCCCAGTTCTGCGAGCTGTTCATTCTCGTTCACGTGCCCCACCTTCCATCCCTCCTTTTTTTCAATTCTTTAACTTCTTCACTTCTATTTAGTTCATGGGGATCTGCCAGGCCCGGGAGCCGTCGCCAGTCCCCTTCAAGGCCTTCCCCAAACCGCCGCTCGATTCATGTTCAAGCTTCACCTTTATCTACTAAAACCTAAATCGAGGACGTGGGCCCAGCTAGTGAAACTATATAAAGCGCCTTGTGGCGACTGTTGTGATTTGCCGCTATATAAATAAAACTGAATTGAACTGAATTGAATTGATACAATCAAAAGCAAAACTGACAACCTGTGATGACTCGTGATGACGCGGGGTAAATAATATGGTCACAGTCCAATCGCAAACAGTTCAATGTGCAACTAGTGGTGCAGTCCCTGTTGGCTCAAACAGCATAAAAGCCCTCTATGGTAAATGGACGGGTTCTTATATAGTGCTTTTCTACTCTAAATAAGCTTTTAAAGCACTTCATACAACTTACCTCATTCACACAAGCATGTTTTCCCATGCTTTCTCTACATCAACTCTATCTAACATTGCCAATGCTGCTTCTCCACTTTATTCATCAATGATTTTCCACATGATAAGAAAGGGCAGATGCAGCTCATAACTTATTTTTGTGTGCTTTCTCCAATACTCTCTGCTGTCATCTCTCTGTTTCTTCTTCTTCTGTCCACCCCTGCATTCTCTGTATTTTTCTCTCAGGATTTCAACTGGAATCTCCACTGTTCTGGCCAACAGAGTGGTCAGCTTCAGGGCAATCAGCTATTCTCTGAACTAAACAATGAGCGCAGCCTAATGTTGTTGCACTGCAGTCCATTGTCCTAAAGGAAAAAGTATTCCCAAAGGAAAAGACAAAGGCAAAACTAGGTGGAAAAATCAAGAAAAAGAACAAGAGTAAGTTAAAAAATACCTGCAACAGGTTGCACACAGGCTGAAACATGAGCACATATTGGACAAAGGCAGGCTGTGTGGTTTGAACAATGGTAAAGTGGTCCGAAGGGGCCGTAGGTCTGACCAGAAAATATCCCCCACACTAGCACACTGCCAGGAGCCTGAACTGTTGATACGAGGCATGATGGCTCCATGCTTTCATGCTGTTTACTGATCCTGCTGTCTGAATATTGCAGCAGAAAGTGAGACTCTGCAATGTTTTTCCAGTTTTCTGTCCCCTGATTTTGGTGAGAGCTGTATCCACAGTTTCATCTTTTTAGTTGACA